TACAATAATTTTACCGCGGTGAATTGCCGTGGAGAAATTGCCGAGGGCAGCCCTGATTATTTTTTTACCTGGAGAGCAGCTATACGTCAAACACACAAGGGCGCAGAAGACAGTATACCACACCCTGTAAGTTGAGCCAAAAACATAATCCACGGAGCCCCGTACCACACTGGTAGTAGTCCGTGACACACCACTAAACAAGAGACAAAGCACACGCAACCCGCGCTGGAACTATGAAGACGAACAACTACACCGCGAGATAAGCGAAGCACACACTACTAAAAGCATCACGGCCTCAGACTGCAGTTACATAGTCAGACTCTAGCAGCGGCGGCACCACGCCGAATGACGTCAAGTTTTTCTGTACATGGGCCGCAACCGGCGGAGGGGAAAAGGTTACCCCCTGGACTCCGTCAGTAACCGTGCATGATAGTAGACGTGCTCTGCTGAGGCCCGCACAACACCCCGGGCAGGTTGGACCGTGTGGGCGCACTCAATCCGAGGGGTGACGTTGTCGCACCCCATCACAATCACGATCACAACCACAACCACAACACTTTGTTGCCACACGCTTACAGTTGGGTTCCTGTGATTGCAGCTACTCATACACGGGCCACACAAGATATCAGACCCCCTACACAATACCACACCTTGTGATATTTTGCTTGATCCAAAGCGATTGTTATCGCCCGGACGTGGTACGTTATGTCGCCTACGGTAGGTTGTTGCGGTATTTTTTGTTCGCAAATCACAGTGGTTGAGTTTCTTGAACCGCCAGGTTGTTGATGGTAGTCGGTAATGCAGTTACGACTTCCGTGAACGTTTTTTTTTCTATATCCCATCGGCGACACGAAACCATGCTCACGGCTTTTCAGGAAAAGACCTCGAGCGACGATGACGCGACGGACGCCATCTCGGCTACAGCTGAGGGGTGGTACAACTCGGACAACGCCTTCAACTTCTACTTCAAGGTGCGGGGTCTGTGTATGCCTTTCTATGACCTCAACGGTTGGCGAATTCTAGAATGATGGAAGCTTGTGTCCTGTCGGCGGGAGAATATAACTCTTTGTTACGCCCCCCCTGCCCCCCCCCCCCCCCCCCCCCCCCTCCCGAGAGTGACCAGAACTAGAGAATTGGGCCGCACCCTGCACATGCGCAGTAGCGACCGCCCTCTCTCGCTAGTTCTCCGGCGGGGAAAACAGGCAGACAGGGGCCCGTGCCTCTTGCCCTTAAATTGAGCTAAGGCACATGTGTACTGCGGGAGGGTCTGCTATCCGATGTAAATATCCTCATGTTTGCTTTTGCAGAGTCAACAAGACTAAATAGGATGCGGTTTTCCTTCGTAGGTGCGCGCGTGCGAGTGAGATCAGGCAACTAGGAACGGAGAACGGAAGGAAATTCCAATGCACTACTGTGTACCGTTTCCTGTCCCGGTTGTGCCTCTGCACCCCGCCCCCCGCCCGCCAGGGTAGTCATTTTGCACTCTCGAAGTAGATGCGTTGAATTCGGGCACGTTGCGTCAAAGTCTTCTCATCACACACACACCCCTCCCGCGTGTGTGCTTTCTGCGTTCCCGAAATATCGGCGCCTCCTCCCGACTCCCTACCAAAGGTGTGGGGCGGAGAGCACATCCACGTAGGCCTGTACAGCAAGCTCAACGCGGAAGAAGCCAAGCTGCCCGTCCTGGACCGCATCAAGAAGGCCAGCATCCTGAACGCCGAGGAACTGCTCGCCCGATGCTTCCCCGCCAGCGCTAACGGGACTAACGGCACTAACGGCAACGGCGCGCCTCACACATCGGAGAGCACCATGGTGGACATGGGCTCCGGATACGGGGGCTCGGCCAGGCTCGCAGCCAAGACGCTCGGCTGCAAGGCGAGTCTCTCTTTGTACTTGCTTCCCCCCTCCGGCATACTGTATGTTCTTCGTCCGCTTGTTTTTTCATCCATCCGTCCTGTTTTTCTACCCATGATAAATAGTCGACTGTACCTTCTGGCCTTGCCTGCGTGCCTGCCTGCCGGCCTACTTTGTCGGAGGATCGCGCTGACAAGAAGGTTGGTAGTCTGCGGTGCAATGTCTGACTCGTGTGTGGTTGTCCAGTCTTTGCGGAAAGATCATCCTCCTCCGACGATGTGTCGAAAACGACCAACGCCGGAGATGGTATTCTTGGCTTCGACCGAATCAATCGTTGTGATCCCTTCTTTTTTGCGAACATGGTCGAAGCACGGCGTGCAATGTGCTCGTACTGTTGCCGTAGCCCGCCTGTCTGTCCGCCGTCTTCTTCTTCTGCCACCTGCCTTGTCCGTGCACATTACTAATCCACAGATGCATATGGATCCATATCTCTCTCTACCGCTCGGAAAGACGTTGACTGGTGCTCAGAAAAGTTGATTACGCAGAGAGAAGTTTCCGCTCCAAGATCGTCTCCCACCCACCCACATGTGTCAGCTACCGGGGAGCGCGGTACACAACTCGATGGTTGAGATACAAAAACCACCGCGCCCAAGCGACTGCGGCGAAATGGGGCCCGCCAATCTGTCGATCGCACACACGCTACATGCGGTTGCGGGCAATCAAGCAAGCGCGCGGTTATCCGAAGTGTGGGATGGTACCAGTTGTGTTGGCTCGAAGAGCGTCACGAGCAACGCCATTTTTCTCAAGCACCATGCATGCACGGCAGAATGACCATATCATACGTGAACGCGACCACCAGCGAGCACGCACATGAAAGTACGTCCATCAATGGGCTCAAAGTGTATGTAACGCAGTAGGTACACAGGTATTGGGTTCGGGCAATCGAACGCGGCCGGAGCCCCGTGTGGGAACTCATGCGTCCTTCCCCTCCCCTCCCCCTCTACAGGTGTATTGCATCAACGTTACTTCGAGGGAGAACGACGTCAACCGCGCGCTGAGCAAGGCCGCCGGGATCGAGGATCTGGTGACTTGAACTGCCTACCTTTCCACCTTTCTTGTGTTAGGTGTAGTACTACTTGTGTTCGGGGTAATATTACCTTAGTTTTTGACGAACCGAACACGTTATGGATATGTTGTGGAGAAAGCTTCGGCCCTAACAGCTATTGTGTACTGGTAGGGGAAGCCCATGTCGGTCACGGAGGGATTTTGGTTCATGGAGGAAAGGTCGTTTCACATGATGAGGTGTTGTTTTATTGAACCAGCAACAACCACACCGCCATCACCCTTACACCCACCACCACATCCAACACCCCTAACCGCCATCCCCACCGACCTACCCCGAAAATGATGGCGACAAACTACTGCTGCACCAGGTGATCATCCCCGGAGAGAAGTCGTATTTCGACACAGGGCTGCCGGACGCCTGCTGCGAGGTGGTGACCTCCCAGGACGCGCTTCTGCACGCGGGGTCGGAGCGGCACAGGGCGGTCGGCGAGGCCGCCCGCTTGCTCAAGCCCGGGGGCAGGATGGTCTTCAACGACGTCATGCAGACGAACCACGCCGACCCCAAGGACCTTCAGGAGGTGAGTTCCAGTTTTGGAGTGGCGGTTCTACTTGTTCTTCCTTCCGTGTACGCATGTTTTTAGCAAGCGCCGTGGCGGGCTCTGCACGAGCTGTACGTAGGCAGCGCCCCCCCTCCACCACGTTGTGTGTTGTGTGTGTCGTGTCAGCAACAGGACTAGACTTGCTGGACAACAGTATCCGTACCTCACCACCACTATTATGAATATAATTAGCACCGGCCGACGTCGTTCGTTTCTGAAGTTCTGTCCCGAAAAACAGAAAACGTCGAAGAGGACGTACACCTTTTTATAACAGTGTGTCTTTCCCCGAACCAAAACGTGAAAGTTAAAGTTGCGTGTATCTGGAGGATGGGTTGTGGCCAGTCCTCTCATCCGCCACCTGTCGCTGTCGGTGATTGTGTTCAACCGTGGCTGCTGGCTGGCTACTGGCTCTAGTATATTGTACGGCATCCATGAACAAGCTTTATTTGTGTGGAATGTTTCAACATGCATATACGGTGCCTGGTGCACACCAAGAACAGCAGCAACAGTAGTAGTCGTGCTACAAGCTGCTAGAAGTAACCGCAAACAAACCACGTGTTCTCTCCTCTCCTCTCCTTCTCTTCTCTTCTCTTCTCTTCTCTTCTCTTCCGCAGGTGTACGAACGCGTCCGCCTTCAGGACCTGGGCACGCCTAAGTCTTACGCCAAGTGGGCCGAGTCTTACGGTCTAACGTTCGTGGAGTTCTCCGACCGTACTCCCGACATGAAGACGCACTACGAATCCGTGAGTTCTTTTCCTTGTTGTTTGTTTGCATATATAGCGTGGTGCGGAGGTAATGTAAAGAACGTTTCCGTTACATGATCTCCCAGACGTGTCTCGAGGCCGACTGTTGACTCCCTCTTGCCATAGAACCAAGGGCAGCTGCATCACTGTCTTGACATTTAAGTTTAGGGTGGTTCACTTCGACAATTAAGTTGGGTACCTTCGTTGGTGCTGGTCAAAAACGATTTTCGCTCAAACACCGTTTCGGTTGGTTCACCGATATGGATGTCCTTTCGACAAGTAGGTTTGCGACGGTTTCAACTCAAGGCAGATGGACAAAACATCGCGGCGTTGGCGGTAAGCATCGTGTTCAGATTCCAGTAACACTGGTTGATTATTATTTCCTTGTCTTCTCCTTGTCTTCAGGTTAAGGAAGTGCTGATGTCGCACCGCGGTACCTCGGATGGCATGGAGGATGAGTTCATCGACAACATGGCCAGGGGACTCGACGCTTGGGTTTCGGCGGCCGAGCGTGGCCTCATCTGCTGGGGGTACGTGACCTTCGCCAAGCCGGTGAGTTGGGTGTTGTTGTTGTTGTTGTTGTTGTTGTTGCTGCTGTTGTTGCTGGTACTTGTTTGGTGGGTGTTTTGGTTGGTATGAACACGTCAACTCGTCCTACGATCCCGTTTGGCAAGTAACAAGCGCCTCAACCTCTCTCACCCAGAGGGAGAAACAGAAAAGCTGGAAGCCGCGCTTAAAAACGTCAAGGCGAGAAACACGCACACAACAGTTAACAGTCCCCCAGATAGTACATCAAACCATGCAATAAACCCGAAGTCAATATTCGACCAGTCAGTCGAAGTAAAAGAGAAGTAGACTTGATTTCGGGGTGTGATGCTTGATGCAGGCGCATATTGTGTTTTGCCACCTGAGTTGTGTTTGTATTCGTCCCATTTGTTCTTGCGCCGGTTTTCAGGCCTTTCGGCGTATAATACCCGACGCATTAGCTGGGGTCACACAAGAGGAAGGTCACACAGAAGCTCTTTTTATTTCTTTCATTTTTTGAGACGATTAAGAAATGGAATACACTGCTCTTTATATTTATTCGTTTTTTTGAGACGATTAAGAAATGGAATTGACTGCTGGAATAAGGAATTAAACCCTAATTTTTTGAGACGATTAAGAAATGGAATTGACTGCTGGAATGAGAAGAAAGAAAGAAGAGCAGGGAGAAAAAAAGCGAAGACTAGCGAAGGATAAAACAGAATGTGTGACCTGGGCCTGCAACCCGTCTCGTCAATTGCCTGCCCATCGTGTGGTCGCCCATAGGCCTAGCGAGAAACTAAAGGGAAACATCCTTGCATACGGTAGTTCACTTGGTTTACCTGTGTGCAGGCATTGGAAGTTTATCATTCCCGCGTAGTGTTTGTACATACTCTGCGGTAGCGACCAAGAAAGCACAAGAACTACGGTTTCATAGGCGGTAACCGCAAAGTCTGCTTCTTTATCACGGCAACGATTGGATGAGAACTTATGATTCCGATTTGTGACGGCAACGCCGGAAAATACAATAATTTTACCGCGGTGAATTGCCGTGGAGAAATTGCCGAGGGCAGCCCTGATTATTTTTTTACCTGGAGAGCAGCTATACGTCATAACACACAAGGGCGCAGAAGACAGTATACCACACCCTGTAAGTTGAGCCAAAAACATAATCCACGGAGCCCCGTACCACACTGGTAGTAGTCCGTGACACACCACTAAACAAGAGACAAAGCACACGCAACCCGCGCTGGAACTATGAAGACGAACAACTACACCGCGAGATAAGCGAAGCACACACTACTAAAAGCATCACGGCCTCAGACTGCAGTTACATAGTCAGACTCTAGCAGCGGCGGCACCACGCCGAATGACGTCATGTTTTTCTGTACATGAGCCGCAACCCGCCGCTGGGAAAAGTGTGTCCCCTGATGTACTCCCGTCAGCAACCGTGCATGATACATACGTACGTAGTGCACGTACTCTACTGAGGCCCGCACTACACCCGCTGCAGGTTGGGTCGTGTGAGAGGGATGACGCTATCACACCCCATCTTGGTTACACCACTTTGTTGTCACACCCCCTGTACTTTACGTCGGGCCCTGCGAGTGCGGTTTTATCGCACGGGTCACACAAGATATCACACCCTCTACAACACAATACCACACCCTTCTGATATTTTCTTGATGCAAGATGATTTGTCATCACACGGGCGTGGTATCTTGTGTCACGTATTATCTAACCCTAACCCTAACCCTACGTGCAGCAAGTAGGTTGTTGTGGTGTAATTTTTATTTCGCAAAGTGTACCAGTAGTATTTTATATGAGTTCCGAAACCGCCAGTTGTTGAAGGTAGTCGGTAATGCAGTTACGGCTTCCGTGAACGTTTTTTTTCATATTCCATCGGCGACACGAAACCATACTCTTACGGCTGTACAGGACGACGACTCAAGCGACGATAACGCGACGGACGCCATCTCGGCTACAGCTGAGGGGTGGTACAACTCGGACAACGCCTTCAACTTCTACTTCAAGGTGCGGGGTCTGTGTATTCCTTTCTATGACCTCAACGGTTGGCGAATTCTAGGATGATGGAAGCTTGTGTCCTGTCGGCGGGAGAATATAATTCTTTGTTACGCCCCCCCCATGCCCCCCCCCCCCCCGTCCCGAGAGTGACCAGAACTAGAGAATTGGGTCGCACCCTGCACATGCGCAGTAGCGACCGCCCTCTCTCGCTAGTTCTCCGGCGGGGAAAACAGGCAGACAGGGGGTCCGTGCTCTTGCCCTTAAATTGAGCTAAGGCGCGTGTGTACTGCGGGAGGGTCTGCTATCCGATGTAAATATCCTCATGTTTGCTTTTGCAGAGTCAACAAGACTAAATAAGATGCGGTTTTCCTTCGTAGGTGCGCGCGTGCGAGTGGGATCAGGCAACTAGGAACGGAGAACGGAAGGAAATTCCAATGCACTACTGTGTACCGTTTCCTGTCCCGGTTGTGCCTCTGCACCCCGCCCCCCGCCCGCCAGGGTAGTCATTTTGCACTCTCGAAGTAGATGCGTTGAATTCGGGCACGTTGCGTCAAAGTCTTCTCATCACACACACACCCCTCCCGCGTGTGTGCTTTCTGCGTTCCCGAAATATCGGCGCCTCCTCCCGACTCCCTACCAAAGGTGTGGGGCGGAGAGCACATCCACGTAGGCCTGTACAGCAAGCTCAACGCGGAAGAAGCCAAGCTGCCCGTCCTGGACCGCATCAAGAAGGCCAGCATCCTGAACGCCGAGGAACTGCTCGCCCGATGCTTCCCCGCCAGCGCTAACGGGACTAACGGCACTAACGGCGACGGCGCGCCTCACACATCGGAGAGCACCATGGTGGACATGGGCTCCGGATACGGGGGCTCGGCCAGGCTCGCAGCCAAGACGCTCGGCTGCAAGGCGAGTCTCTCTTTGTACTTGCTTCCCCCCTCCGGCATACTGTATGTTCTTCGTCCGCTTGTTTTTTCATCCATCCGTCCTGTTTTTCTACCCATGATAAATAGTCGACTGTACCTTCTGGCCTTGCCTGCGTGCCTGCCTGCCGGCCTACTTTGTCGGAGGATCGCGCTGACAAGAAGGTTGGTAGTCTGCGGTGCAATGTCTGACTCGTGTGTGGTTGTCCAGTCTTTGCGGAAAGATCGTCCTCCTCCGACGATGTGTCGAAAACGACCAACGCCGGAGATGGTATTCTTGGCTTCGACTCAATCAATCGTTGTGATCCCTTCTTTTATGCGAACATGGTTGAAGCACGGCGTGCAATGTGCTCGTACTGTTGCCGTAGCCCGCCTCAGACGTGTTCGCGCCTATAGGAATTGAAAAAAGTACGGACAAAAAATCACGCCGCCGGTTTCAGCGGGGTTAATTTTGTTTCATCCCCTCCCCATTTTGGACATGGCTGAGCCCAGTTCTTTCACCACCTCGTGCTCCTTACACAGACCTCGTCGTTTCACCAAAACAGGCGGGCGCCTCAAGCAAGTCATACCCTCCATCGGAAAGCTGGTTTTACCCTTTGATTTTGCTTTGAGCCGGAGAACTGTCTCGCGATCACATCTGAGTTGAAGCTGCCTTCCTGCTGCTGCACGCAACCTTTTCAGCTCTGGGAAGCAACTCTCATCCAAGTTGGTCACCCGCGTCAGAGTCCCAATTCGGCCAAAACTCTGCGCCATAGTAGAGATAAAAGACCATAGAATGAATGTATGATGTGCACGGTTTGGGATCTGCACTACAGCGATGGAAGTGGGCCTGCAAAAGTCGGCCTAAATTCAATTCTAAACTCCAGCAGTCAGCAGAGTGGCCCCCAGAACGATCATGAGCCTACCTCCAAAAATATCATGGTAATCCAAGCCATGGAAGCACGCAACGCACCTAGATGCCTTTTGGTTACCCACGTTTGTGTGTCTTTACACGTGGGCAATCCATAGATGATGTGCACGAATTGGGATCAGCACTACAGCGCGAGTTGTGGCAGAATAACCAAAAACACTGCGCGGAGAGACTGCTTGCGGATGTGATTCCACGATTTGTAATGTCTGCATAAAAAACAAAAATTGGATTTTTTTCCATAGGCGCGAACACGTGTGGCCTGTCTGTCCGCAGCCATCTCCTTCTTCACCTGCCTTGTCCGTGCACATTACTAATCCACAGATGGACATGGATCCATGTCTCTCTCTACCGCTCTGGAAGACGTTGACTGGCGCTCAGAAAAGTTGATTACGCAGAGAGAAGTTTCCGCTACAAGATCGCCTCCCACCACCCACATGTGCTAGCTACCCGGGACCGCGGTACACAACTCGATGGTTGAGATACAAAAACCACCGCGCCCCAGCGACTGCGGCGAAATGGGGCCCGCCAATCTGTCGATCGCACACACGCTACATGCGGTTGCGGGCAATCAAGCAAGCGCGCGGTGATCCGAAGTGTGGGATGGTACCAGTTGTGTTGGCTCGAAGAGCGTCACGAGCAACGCCATTTTTCTCAAGCACCATGCATGCACGGCAGAATGACCATATCATACATGAACGCGACCACCAGCGAGCACACACATGAAAGTACGTCCATCAATGGGCTCAAAGTGTATGTAATGCAGTAGGTACACAGGTATTGGGTTCGGGCAATCGAACGCGGCCGGAGCCCCGTGTGGGAACTCATGCATCCTTCCCCTCCGCCTCCGCCTCCCCCTCCCCCTCCCCCTCTACAGGTGTATTGCATCAACGTTACTTCGAGGGAGAACGACGTCAACCGCGCGCTGAGCAAGGCCGCCGGGATCGAGGATCTGGTGACTTGAACTGCCTACCTTTCCACCTTTCTTGTGTTAGGTGTAATGCAACTTGTGTTCCGAACACGTTATGGATATGTTGTGGAGAAAGCTTCGGCCCTTAATCAGCTATTACGGTACTGTTAGGGGAAGACCACGTATGCCACGGAGGGATTTTGGTTGATGGAGGAAAGGTTGTATCGCATGATGAGGTGTTGTTTCATTGAACCAGCAACAACCACACCGCCATCACCCTTACACCCACCACCACATCCAACACCCCTAACCGCCATCCCCACCGACCTACCCCGAAAATGTTGAAAACGAACTACTGCCGCACCAGGTGATCATCCCCGGAGAGAAGTCGTATTTTGACACGGGGCTGCCGGACGCCTGCTGCGAGGTGGTGACCTCCCAGGACGCGCTCCTGCACGCGGGGTCGGAGCGGCACAGGGCGGTCGGCGAGGCCGCCCGCTTGCTCAAGCCCGGGGGCAGGATGGTCTTCAACGACGTCATGCAGACGAACCACGCCGACCCCAAGGACCTTCAGGAGGTGAGTTCCAGTTTTGGAGTGGCGGTTCTACTTCTTCCTTCCGTGTACGCATGTTTTTAGCAAGCGCCGTGGCGGGCTCTGCACGAGCTGTACGTAGTACGTAGGCAGGACCCCGCCTCCACCACGTTGTGTGTTGTGTGTGTCGTGTCAGCAACAGGACTAGACTCGCTGGACAACAGGTTTCCGTACCTCACCACCACGTTACTACTCGCTGACGCTGTTCCGAAAATCGAAACAATCGACCGTCAAGAGGCCGTACCGCATTATTGAATTATATAGTACTTCTAGTGTTTCCCCCCAAACAACTTCACAGTTTAAGTTGCATGGATTTGGAGGACCGTTTGCGGCCAGCCCTCTCATCCCCCATCTGTCACTGTCGGTGGTTCACTGCATTCTTGGCTGCTGGCTCTCCTATTTTGTACCGCATCAATCACCAAGCTTTTTTGTCTGGAATGTTTTAACACGCATTTACTGTGCCTGGTGCACACCACGAACAGCAGTATTAGTACTGGTCGTGGTACAGCTGCTAGAAGTAACCGCAAACAAACCTCGTGTTCTCTTTTCTCCTCTTCTCTTTTCTTCTCTCTCTTAGGTGTACGAACGCGTCCGCCTGCAGGACCTGGGCACGCCTAAGTCTTACGCCAAGTGGGCCGAGTCTTACGGTCTCACGTTCGTGGAGTTCTCTGACCGTACTCCCGACATGAAGACGCACTACGAATCCGTGAGTTCTTTGCCGTGGTTGTTTGTTTGCATATGTAGCGTGGTGCCGAGTTAAATCTAAAGAACGTTCCGTTTCATTACTCTATCGTTGACCCCCCTTTATTTGCAGAACCAAGGGGCGAACTTCATCACTGTTTTGACAATGAAGTTTTAAGGTGGTTCACTTGGACAAATAAGTTGGTTTGACTTCGTTGGTGCTGGTCGAAAAACGATTTTCGCTCAAGCACCGTTCGTTCGTTTGGTTGACCAATGTCTCTTCGACAAGTAGGTTTGCGACGGTTTCAATTCAAGGCAGATGGACGGAACATTGCGGCGTTGGCGTTGAGCATCGTGTTTCGATTCCAGTAATGCTGGTTGATGATTATTTCCTTGTATTCAGGTCAAGGAAGTGCTGATGTCGCACCGCGGTACCTCGGATGGCATGGAGGATGAGTTCATCGACAACATGGCCAGGGGACTCGACGCTTGGGTTTCGGCGGCCGAGCGCGACCTCATCTGCTGGGGGTACGTGACCTTCGCCAAGCCGGTGAGTTGGGTGTTGTTGTCGTTGTTGTTGTTGTTGTTGTTGTTGTTGCTGCTGCTGCTGCTGCTGCTGCTGCTGGTGTTGGTGTTGGTGGTACTTGTTTGATGTTGTTGGTGCAGCGGTAGTTAGTTGCGGGATGGGTGGTTTTGTGTTTTGCGACAGCAAACGAAAGCCAGCGTCAAACTCCCTTTGTGTGCATGAAAATCTGCAGACAACGTCTACCGAACGTTGTCTACCTCACCCTCAGCAATAGTATGGCACAGTACTTGACGGTACGCCAGGACCCGTGAACCCGTCAACGCCTCCTCGGTCACGATTGCTGTTGAAATTGAAAGGCACAAAATATTTTTCGGGGGTCCTGGACAAATGCGGCGGTGGCACCTGCACCCCCACCCCCCACCCCCCATCCCCACCCCCCCGCGCCGTATGAACAACTTCCCGTCCTATGATCCCCTATCAACGCCACAACCACCTGAGTTCTTGTTTTCGCCTACGTCTGCTGCTCGCCTGGTTTCTATCTCTTGTTGCTGCCGCCGATAACATTCCCCCTCTTTTTTTGCTGTTGGCGTTTTTTTTTTTTTTTGCGTGTGTGCATTTCGCGAATGGGGGGTTGTGTAGAACGAGCAGGCAGCCGAACATTGAGTCGATCGGGTTTGACCGCAAATCCGAGAACACCTGCGTCACTCTGCCCCCTCCTGCTGCCGCATTGTTTCATATTTTCGTCCTATGTTTCAGTTTTGTCTTTTTCACTTTTTGGTTTCAGTTGGGTTGGACAAGGTTAACAGAAGTATTTCTAACGTCCACAGACGGGCAGAGGGAATTAGTGCATCGGTCTTTCTGGAGTTTTTTTCTACCCAAGTTGGGTGATTTTTCTCCTGTTTTTTCTTGCAACGACGGAAGAACAATGAGAAACTGGGGGGGGGGGGGGGAAAGTCATAGTCGTGCATGCCCTAATCTTTTGACCATATTGACCTCCCATTCCTAAAAAACCGGGACGGAACACGCCGGGTTTT